TCCTAATCTACTTGTTAAGAAAAATAAAAATTATTTGCATGAGCACATACCAGCTTGTTTTAGCCTGCGATTTCCTTGTGGGGAATCTTCCCAGTGTCTCATAGGAGCCTGCCTGTATGCCAAATGTTGTATTTTTTTCCCAAAATGACGAAAAGCATTAATAAGCTAAGAGCTGTTTAATACGAAAACAAGTTAAACTAGGTCTATGCTACAGTGTTCTGTCAATCTACAACCTTTGATCAAATGAGCTGTGGTAGAAGAATCCCTAACATGGACACAGCTAACAGTGATTTTGCTGGTTCATGTTGGAAGGTGATGCAGCAGAAAAACTTGTACTCATACATTGTATGCCTGGTAGGGGAATCAGTCAATATGTCTATACTGGCATAGCTGCAGGGGCTCTGAGTCACTGGAGACTGCTCGTGATTTAAAGTGATATTTATATATAATGTGTCTGCAGGGTTCAGCTCTGGGTATGAGTCAGAAACAGGGCTGTAAAGTACAAATTAAGCCGCTAACGAAGGAAGTCACTAATTATCAACTAATTGGGATTGCTTTCAAACTTATTGTCATACCTTGAAATCCTTTGTGAATCATAGTTCTCTTTGGAGGAAAAATTCTCAGGTGGCCTGAAATACAAGAAATTTGAACTGGACTCCAACGATATAGAGGTTGACTAACTGACTGGTTTAGATCACCACAGCAAGTTAGAGCCATTCTATGCTCTTGATCTGGCACTTAAGAAGAAATGGCTGTTTGGTAAATGATGGCTAAATTCAAACGACAGAAAATACAGTCGCAGAATTAACCAGTTTGCTTCTGCTGTGTGTGTGTGCCTGAGAAGGTGGGGGAGCAGAGTGCGGAATTGAGAGGAAGATGCTTGTCCCTGGATCAGTGGAGTATTTAATCAGCTGTGTTCTGTGTTAATTTTGAGCCGAGCACTTTGTTTCTTGCTCTTACTCATACAGAATGTGAGCAATGGCCTTTTCCAATTATTTATTTAAAAAGGCGTACAAGGATGGCCTTGGTAGGTCAAACAAAGAGGTATGTCGAGACTGGCATCCTGCTGCTATGATCAGTAACATACAGGAATATAAGAAATCGTACTTTATATAGAGTAATTCTTCCCTGATCCAGTTTTCCTGGTTCTGAAGGATTCATACTATAAAGTGACTTAATTACTCTTCTGTATCTTAGGGAAGTGGGGCAGGTGTTGGAGGGGACTTTTAGGCTTTTCAACAAAATTAATCCATGCGCTTTCACTTCCAGGTACCACAAAGAGAAGTGCCTCATTAAACAGACTGAATAACAAAGTTCCTCTACATTCTCAGCAGTCAGCACTCAAAGGTTCACAGGTGGAACAGAAAGGTGCTAGAAACCAGTTTGTTTTGAGAATTGGGAGGCAGCAAATGGGATATTTAAAGTTGACTTTAAACCATGTCCCAGTTTCATTATAAATGTTTTTACTCAGGCTTTCACTGCTGTGCATGTAGTCTACGCACTGTGGCATAAATACCATTATGCACGTTGCAGTGCCAGATATTGGGTAACCGTGTCTATAAACCAGCCTTATTCCTCTTGAAAAGTGGAAGGGTGGGGGGGAGAGTAGACAAATGGTAGCCAAACCATTTAGCTCATGATAAACAGTGCTTCATGATGATAGATTGGTGGTTTTAGCTGATTGGCAAAAGCAAAGCATGGGAATGGCAATTTAGAAAATCATATATATAAATACCTTGTTAAAAATAATCTTCCTTACGCTTGGTCTCTAGGAGGAACAGAAAAGAAGAGGAGCACATCTTTGAATAGAATGAGTAGTAAACCCCAATCTTCTCCAGAACTAGAAAAAGTGAAAAAGGAAGAAAAACCAGGTGGTTGTTTCATAAAGCTGAATATTTCTTTTTAAAGCCATTTATAGTAAAGTTTGGATAGGCTTACTTTCACTAGTTTCTTTGGTTCTTAATTTTTTAGGACTTTTTAATGGCTTTTTTAGTTATCCCGTGGTAAAGATAAAATTGTAAATGGTAAAGGTTTTCTCCCTTTGGACAAAAAAGAAATCCTGTAAGAAGGACTTTGATTTTGTTAAATGGCACTGTAAGCAGATAACAAAATGTCTCTCTGCTTAACAGAGACACCCGTGGTAAATAAAATTGTAAATGGTAAAGGTTTTCTCCCTTTGGACAAAAAAGAAATCCTGTAAGAAGGACTTTGATTTTGTTAAATGGCACTGTAAGCAGATAACAAAATGTCTCTCTGCTTAACAGAGACATATTTGAAAGCTGGTAGGTTTAAATGTAAGATACAGTAAAAATGTCACTGATACGTTCACTTCTTAGTTAAACTTTACCTTTGCTTTTTAAGAAAGGTTTTCTCCCTTTGGACAAAAAAGAAATCCTGTAAGAAGGACTTTGATTTTGTTAAATGGCACTGTAAGCAGATAACAAAATGTCTCTCTGCTTAACAGAGACATATTTGAAAGCTGGTAGGTTTAAATGTAAGATACAGTAAAAATGTCACTGATACGTTCACTTCTTAGTTAAACTTTACCTTTGCTTTTTAAGCTCTCTTTCATTATTCAGTTTAAAAGCAACTTCTCTGTTCCTGCTGCTGGCCTAAACTTTGTGCATGCAAATGAAGGAAGAAACCTGTTCTCACTTCAGTTTCTTTTGGTCTGTGTATTCCCCACTAGGTTACAAATAACCTCTTTTCTAGGAACTCTTCCTAAAGCTGAAGACTAGCAACTTTTCTAACGTGTTTTTCCCTTTGAGTTAACAATTCTGAAACTTTCCTTTTTAAGCAGCTATTGCCAACAGTGGAAATCATATTCTGCTTCAGAATCTTTCCTGTATGGGAGGATGGTGGGTGCTGTCCGTGTGAATTTGTGTGTGCAAATGATGCCTGATGATAACCGTTCACTTTGACTTGCAAGTCTTCTGTTTATTATGTCAGAACAGCTTTTCCTGCGATCTAGAGAACATAGCTCTGAAGAGCTGGGTCAAAAACACTTCATACTTTGACTGACTTCAGCATTCATCTCTGTTGTACGCGTGCCAGTCTTTGCACATTAAAATAATTAGTATTAAGCAAGCGGAGGACAAGAAGTGCAACATAAGAGATTGCAGTGTTTAACCCTTCTGTGCTTTTAGTTTGGATTTCCCTCTCCATGACTTCAGTATTTTTCTTCCAAAACTGTTATGATTTGCAACAATGCTTACAGTCTTCCTTTGCTTTGTACTGCTTGTCTTTTTCATAATATGATTTCATGTTGGATCCTTTTTGATTTGTTCCCATCATCTAGCTCGTCGCTCCCAGCTCAGTCCTCTGGACAGTAGCGTAATCAGTCGCCTCCTCGCCCCCACACAGGCCTCATTAGCTAGGAGTAAAAGTGCTGCTACATTATCGGCTGATGGACAAGATCCCTCAGGTAACAGGAGGACAGCAAAGCCTGCAAGTTTTATGCAGTTGCTCTTCAAGCAAGAACTTACATGATAGTTGCTAACTGTGCTACACTTCAGTATGAATCAGACAGTTAATATATGGTTATGTATAATATTACTTATCCAGTATTTTTTTTGGTCAGTAATAACCAATTCATATGCTATGTTGCATGTTTACTTTACAAAACCATAGAATAATACTGGCTTTTAAACTCCAGTGCCAGTTTACTTGCTCTGCAGAGAACCAGATGTTGGTGTTCGTTTTGGGTTTTGTTTGTGTTTTTGTTTTTTTTTTTAACTGACAGAGATCTGCATTTGGGTGTACCCTCAAAAGAATCTGAGACATACTGCCAGAGAACAGTGCTAGGAAATGAAAGGGAAAAAACCCAAACAAACATATAATTTCAAAGGGAGCTGAAAGGAATAAGTGCAAAGCCTAAATTTCTTTAGGGGGAGAAACTCTTGTAGAAACATGGGTTGTCTTAACCTAAGTACAGGGAGCCCTGAGCTAGCTTCTAGCTTGCTGATTTGGGTGTACCCTCAAAAGAATCTGAGACATACTGCCAGAGAACAGTGCTAGGAAATGAAAGGGAAAAAACCCAAACAAACATATAATTTCAAAGGGAGCTGAAAGGAATAAGTGCAAAGCCTAAATTTCTTTAGGGGGAGAAACTCTTGTAGAAACATGACAAAGGGGTTGTCTTAACCTAAGTACAGGGAGCCCTGAGCTAGCTTCACTCAGGCTGATTGTAGAAGTAGAGGCATACTAGAAGGAGGAGATACTGTAGAGAAACCCTGCCTGGCTCAAGCAATTTTATATTGGTCCAGACTGAGCTGATAAGCCTACACTGTGGCTCAACTTAGTACTTGAGCAGGAATCTTTGCATCGTGGGCAAGCCCTAGCTGCATCCCACATGTCTTATAATTGTTATTGGTTGTAATAATGCCCCAGTAAATGCATATCTGGAACCAATGTGGAGTCCTTTCTCCTCTCTTACCTTACAACTTGCATTCCCAGTTTTGCTTGTTTCCTCTTAAGTGTGTTATTCCATCTTTGTTTTTTATCTTACACCACTTAACTTGGTCCTTGTTGGCAATGGTGACATTTCTACACTGCTCCCCTTGTGTAATAATCAGTTTCTACTTTTTTGGTTTGTAGTCAATGGTCGTATTTTTGCACACCTATCTATGTTCCACTTTTATTTTACCATGCATATTTCAGTTCACGTCATGTGGGGAAATACCATCTTTTTCATTGTTAACTGACAGCATGTGACTTATTCACTATTGCTGAATTAAAAATAACTTTTACATTTTTATCAGTTTACTTAGCGGTACTTTCTTCATTTCAGTACAAACATACCTGTGCTTTAGCACAAACTATGCACAAACAGAATGCAGTTCTTCTTGCACAAATGCTATAAATATAAAAATAAAATGTATTTTCCATAAAGTTACAAAATTAAGTGCTGGCATCTGTCACAATTTATTCAGACTATAGAAAAGTCCAACATCTAGTTTCAGAAGTAGATTTTTACATCTATGTATGCTTATCCATCTATGATTATGTTAGTGAAAAAAGTAATTAGAAGATACTACTTCTTTCAGTATCTTATGTGTGAAGAGATTGACACTTCAGGTAGGAAAGGTATTTTAGTTCAACAGTTGACCTTTTTCTCTTGATAGGTTTCTTTTACACCACCTATTTTGATTTGTTAATGTGGATAAAGGGCACACATATGTAGTAATAAAGGGGTCAGAGAGGGAAAGTAGAATAACATAATGTTGCACAAATGCTTATTTCACAAGAAAAGTTTGTAAAGTAATGCTCAGATTCCAATGTAATGCTGCTTTATAAATACTCTTTGAAAAGAAGGAAGATTTCCTCTTTGAGTATGGGGAAAACATGCTTAAAATTTGAACCTGTCATGAAGAACTTGTAAAGAAAGGTGCTAAGCCATTAAAACTGAAGTATTTGTGATTAGATGCAGCTTGACTAAAATTAAAGTAACACTGGTGTATTGCAAATTTAGACGTCGTTTGGAAAAGCATTTTATTTTTATCTACTCCAGACTGCTGCTTTCAGAATGGTTTTATTCTTGGTGCTGTTGCTTCCAAAGTACTAATCGTGTGGTGGTGGTGTCTGTGTGCGTGACCCATTGCAATGTGCACTGCCTGTGGCGTTTCTCTGTACGGTTTCTAACACACACAATCTTTCTTTCTCTCTTTCTCCCTCTTCCTTTTCTCCTGTTCTTATGCTGTGCACTTGGTTCTCGTTTTGTCTTGTCAAATTCCTAACTTTATAGAATCTCACCTCTGTCCTCGTTCAGCTTCAGCCAGTTCCATCAATTCCCCAGTCCCAACTCCTAAAGTGCCCGTGCGCAGTCGTAGCATCGACAGATTGAAGTCCTCTGTATCTTCATCTGATGCAAGTTCACCAGATTCAACCCAGGTTTGTTGAAAATCTACGGGAATTAGGTTTGTATTAATCAGGGGGTTTGGAACAGCTCAGGATGGGATCCTGTTTCAACAGTTTGCTTGTTTATTGAAATGTTCAATAGCATTTGCTTAAAAAACACAGTATTGGAATCAAATTGGGATTTTATGGTCCTTGATCTCTCTGGTATCTTAAAGGCATATTGTTTGCTGCTTATGGTTCCCAAAGGTTAATTTAGGTAACATTGACTGGGTCTGTGTTTTGGAACATAAAGGAAATGTAAAGTACATCTTGTTGAGAAGTTGTACGTTTGTTGGGGTAGCAGCTCCTCTGTCTGTGATGTATTCTAGAGAGTGAGCATTTTTTTATGTATCTTCTTAGAAATCGGAGACAGAAAAACCATCCCCAGGTTCTGGTTTAAGACGCCCTCCCTCTCCATCTGTGTCTGCCCGTAGAAGATCCCCCTCTCCTGCTAATTTGGTGAAGCGTCCTCCATCACCTTCTACAGTTAGGTATGTGTCCAGGTTAAATATCTTTTTTTTAATTCAGAACAAAATGAAGGATGCTTCCTATCTCAAGACATCTGTTCTGTTAGAATTTGGATGACCTACGTTATGCCATGTTTATACACATAAGGACTTAATTTTTGGTCCAATTTCTCTTTTCCACAGTAGGGGTGCAGATCTTACCTGAACCTTTGTCTCTTTTGTGCAGACAAAATACACGCAGGTTTTCTGTACAGTCTGTGCACTAAAACCAACAGGAAGCATGCGAGCTTCTGAATAAGCTGATCTGCCTGTATTAGTGTAGGAAGTTTCTTGGATTGGAAGCACAGGGTTCATCCTTGATGTGGAGTAAATGGAGGTCTGGGCTAGCAGACCTCTTTTGATGTTAGCCCACAAGTAGCGAGTCCAGGTGCCCAAGGTATTTTGGAATCCTGTATTTGAGTTTTATGAGGAAGGCACCAGCAGTTTGTGGGTGGATTTATTTTTAAAAGTGAGGTACGTAATGTAAACTAACCAAAGTAGAGTGCTGTCCTCAGTTGCATGTTTGAGGTTTTCAGTGTTAGCCCTGAAAAATATTCTTCATTTCAACAGACAAAAGACTCGCCCACCTTCGCCTAGCATGTCAAAACAAAGGCCGCCATCTCCTACTCCAGTCTCTAAGCCGGCACCCATCCAACGTCCACCTCTCACGCCAGGTGTTATAAACATTACCAAAAAGAAAACTGAAGCAGAGAGCAAACCAAAGGATAAGAGCACAGAAGGAACAGGACAAGAGCAAGGTGCTTCACCAGCCTTGGACAGGGATGCGGTAGCAGCTAGCACAAAGACCAAAGAAGGTGAGTGTTTCTCAGTGGCTGATGCACTCTTATTCAAGACATTGCCAGTGTGTGCTAGGACTGGTGAAATAATTCATTCATGAGGCAGACCACTGGAGGGTAGGATGCTTTAAGGCAGAAGCTGTTCATTGCTGATTATTTATACAATAACTTTATGTAGTATGACTTTTGAGTGTGGATTTTAGTGCAGTAGTCGGTTTATATGACTTGGAGATTTAAGTCAGGAGCTTTCAATTCTACTGCTTGTACTATAATTTTAAGAAAAGCAGAAATCCTGTTTGCCTTTTGGACTTCAGCCACACTAGCTGAGGGATCTACTAGCTTAGGTTTGCAAAGTCAATAGTTAAACTATGTAAAGGTCTTTCAGTCCAGTTGGTAGTTCTTGAAATTGCTTGTGTAGAGACGTGCTTGGAGGAAGAAATCAGCTATTGGTGCATCACAGGCTGAGAGCCAGTTTTCACAAAGCTAGAAGGCTGCCTCAGTCTCAATTCCAGTGAATGTATAATCATTGCTGCTTCAGGAAAAAGTGGCCAGTTCACAGGTCACACTGAGAAATTATCTTGGTAGATTAAGGAGAGCCATATACTAGGTAAGTAATTAGTCTCCTAGTCCTCTTCATCGTGCCAAGTACGCACAGCCTCTGTCCCTCTTACCGGAAGAACACCATCTGCCATCTCCAGAACAGAATCTGGGAGAGCCTTCTGATGAGGTCTGGCAGGCAATTCTCTGTGGAGAAGGACTTAGGGGAGACTTAAGAGGGAAAGGAGGGATCTCTGGAATTTAAGCTACAGCCAGTGGGCAGTACTGGGGGTGAAAATCCTTCAGACATAAGGTAAGAGGGAACATGTGCTTGCTGCATGTTACTGCATATATGGTTCCTGTTGTGCATTCCTCAGCTGCTGCAGTTGTCTGTTATTTCTGAGGCTCTTCCTGACACTGCTCAGTGTTGGATGTGAAATAGTGTTAGTCAGCTGAAGAACATTTATGGTACAGTTCTTCGGGCATATGTTCCTCTAGAAGGAAGCCTGGATGTCATAGTCAAATGTGGATGTTTGTATGAAGTTGCACATCTGTCTTTTGTGTCACATCACTTATCTTTGCAGTCAGAATGTCCATCCCTCAATGTGCTACATTACTGTGATAAATGCCTCAGGAGGCATAATCAATTGTGATCAATGTCATCAGTTGGTTGAAACCTTCGTAACAATGTGTCCTATTTCTGCATCTTCCAGTTGTTCTGGAACAAGAACACCTGTCCTTGTTCCTTGGATGCCCCACCTGTCTCCTCTACACTGACTTCTGGAACTGTATTAACCCAGTTTGTCTGTTTCCATTTTATTTTATTGGTAATCTCCAAGCTAGTCATCTTTGTAGTGATTCATACTGGGGCTGGGTGAAGCTCTTTTCCTTTGACGCATAAAAGATAAGTAAATAGTGGGCATGTTCTTCAACATAGAGATGATTTCATTTATCTCTTTGAATGTTTTGGTACAGTGCAATATTGCTAAGTGAGGCAAAATCTTTGTTCTTAAAAAGAAAAAGCTGCTTTCAATTTTCAAGGCAATTTTTATTTTACACATCTGTGTAGGCAGTTCACCCTGTGGGTTGGTGCAATACCATATTCCAGAGAGCTTCTGAAGTCAGAGCGCACCAATGAATGGCATGTGGCAAATCAGTCTCTAGGTCTTGTAGGTTCAACCTAATTTCAGCTTTGTGCACTTGTATCTTCATATCATCTCTTCCTGCTTTCAATTTTCAAGGCAGTTTTTATTTTACACATCTGTGTAGGCAGTTCACCCTGTGGGTTGGTGCAATACCATATTCCAGAGAGCTTCTGAAGTCAGAGCGCACCAATGAATGGCATGTGGCAAATCAGTCTCTAGGTCTTGTAGGTTCAACCTAATTTCAGCTTTGTGCACTTGTATCTTCATATCATCTCTTCTCCTCCAAACTGAAGTTGATTGCCCGTTGCTGACAGACAGCAATCAAGTTTTTGTCTTGTTTTTTGTGTCTTCCTACTAAAATATACTGTTCTGCAGTAAAACACTTTATTTTTCAGTGACTTGGAGCAGTTGTCGTTTCTGGCAGCAGCCTTTCACAGCTTCTCTGAGAGTTAAAAGGCTTGTTTCGACTTAAAGCATAAGTGCTCCTTCATGAGCTCTCACCTTATGCATGATGATAGGTAATAAACTGTCATGGAGCCTCACTTTTTTGTATCTGGGTAGTGAAGACTTTGGAATATGATTCCTAGATTAACTGTGAATAAATGACTTGCCTTGAAATGTGTTGGAATCTTCCTTCCATCCAACTAATAGTACATTTTACAATTGTTCTGAGACATTTCTCTTGCCTGTTTCCCTCTTTCCCCTTCCATCATAAAAAGGTCCTTTGAGAAAAAGACAGTTCTTACCAGGAATGACAGTGAGAGTACAAGGAAAATGGAGCTGAATATAAATGCTGGAAGAATCTTCTTAAGGCACGTTAGCAATCATGTTGGGAAATCCCATGTCCTGCCCTATGGAAACAGACTGTACAAGGGGTGCATGGAGATGAAAGCACTATTGCAAGTAACGATATGGAAAACATCAGTAAAGCTTCGAAAGTGAAAACGCAATGGGAAGGTCCCCCTTAGACTTGAGGTCTCCTACCCTTTCTTTTGTTTTTATGCCCACTGTTCTTTCCATATCTTCAGTGTTCTGAAACGTTGTGACTAATTTTCTTCTGTCATTTTCAATACCAGATATTCATCATATTTCAAGCTATCATTATGTTATAACCCTATAACCTAAAAGCCTAAAACCTTTAGGCTTCTTGCTGAAGATTGAGTTGTCTTATTTAGGTTCAGTTTAGGGGGGGGGAAGTAGGTTAAACCTGACATTAAATGTCAATGAATTTTGATGCAACTGAGATTCCAGTAGTGTTAAAATAGGACTGCTGCGTTGGTTGCTCTGCATGTGCACAATAGAAGATGGCCTCTGCTATAAAAAGTGACTAGTCTAAACTGGCAAGACACTCAAGTGGTAGAGGAGAAGGGAGGCATTTTGATTTCTTCGTGGTTGCATACCGGCAACACTAAATGAAACCTCCCTCCTTTAAATAAAAAAGAAAGTTGCAGAATATAGGAAGAAAAGCACATGGAAGTCTTGAGTAGGCAGATCTTGCTAATGGTTCTTATAACTGCAAAGGAGTGGTCTTTCCTGCTCAGGGAGAAGGAGGAGGACCCCTTTTGACTGAGTTCAAATTTGGAACTGTTGTGGCTGATTCTTGTTTGTACCAACATGACTACATTTTTGCCCAAATCAGAAGCAATGTGTGTTCTGGGGAGGTGCTTCTTTTTCAGCATTGGATAAATCTAAATATTAGAAAACTTCTCTGTGACTGCACTCCACCAGTGCTGGAATGTTTTTCCTAGGACTGCAAGAACAATTTTTATGCACAACACACTGCCATGATTCAGCTGCTGAGGGTTTACTCTGTGTAATTATGCCCTACAGCTGCAGGTAGTGATTACGTGTTCATGGGGCTTAAGCAGCTTTTCAGGTATTAAAGTTCCTAATGATGGCATTGTGTTTTGAATGATTTGTCTTTAGGTCAGAAGCAAAAAAACTGATCAAACCCTGATGTCATTGTTCACTAAAATTACCTTGACTTGAAGGCTTTATAAATGTTAAGCAAACGTATATGTGCTGATTTGTGAAATACTAAAAAGAAGAAAGGCAGGTCCTCAGCAGCATTATGATGCTTTTGCTCTACTGACACCAAGAGCTAATTCTCTGAATATTCAGATGATGAGTTCTTTAGTCATATTCAAACAGTAATATTTCTAGAGAGTGGGAATAACAGATAAAAACCAGAGTTCTCTCAATATACATTGAGAGCAACTGGATGGCAAGGGTGGTTTTTTTCCTAATGTTAATTTATAATAGTATCTCTGATGTTCAGACAGCATAACACCAGGCAGGACATGAAGAAACATAAACTGCAGGACTGTACAAATACCTACTAACCTGGTGGTTGGAGCTGTTTTGATCTCCATGTAAATTGGAAATTGATTTGTTGCTAAAATGTGTAGAAATATGGTATCACTGAAGTCATTAGCATGTGCCTTCAGGGCCAGATAAAATGGTGATTATTTGCACCCTAAGATACTCTATAAATACAAAGGCATGAATGTTAATGTTATGAAACAAGGAAATAAAAAAAAAAATTTCCTCTTTAGGGTCGTGTGTGTTCAGTTTTATTAGAAGGAAGTTAAGTGTATTTCCTAAAGCAGTATTTTTTTCAGTTTTCTTTTAAGTGTTTGTAAGTGTTACCGAATAAACATGTCTTTTCAGAAACATGTTTTTAAGTACTATGGTAATTGGAGAATATCTTTAACTGTATTGCCTGGAATATGGCTGGATCAGTGTAGTTGAAATGAGTTGTTATTATTTCAGTGTCAGTGAGATACTGTGGTTCTGCATCTCTTTAGGACTCCCCTTTGGCTCTTGTGGGCCTTTAGATACAGGGTATACTCGCTGAGTGAGGAGCACTGATCGAAAAGAGTTGGGGTGGGTTGGCCAAAAGAAAAATCTCATCTCACAGTGATAATGTCTGTCTTAATTTTAAGTTACTAGGGCTTTTTAACAGCAGTTTCTTTTAACCTTTGCAGAATCAGGTAGCAAAACAGTAGCAGGGACCACCACAGCTGAAGAAGCTGCTAAAATCTTGGCAGAGAAACGACGTCTAGCACGGGAGCAAAGAGAGCGTGAAGACCAAGAAAGAATTCAGAGACAGGAAGAGGAAAGGTAACAATTCAGGAGAAGGAAGGGATGCTTTCCGTGGTGGGGTGTGGTTGGAACAGACACTCCAGCTCTATATGTTTCCTAAGCTTTAATTTAAGTTCCTGTAAATCTCAATGCAGTTCCTGAAGCAGAGACAGGCGCTAGCACCATTTGAGATGGGACAGGTTGCTGTTTGTATCATTAATCTATATGTCAGTATATACGTAATGCATAGTCCCTGTGCAAATCACTGCTTCTTTTTCCTTCCAGTCACCAGTGGTGCTTTTATTTCAAAACTAGAGTGTGCTTTTTACACCACTTGTATTTGTTTTGTTTGTATTTGTCTTGAAATAGTCAACCTCTCTGTATTAAACTTTCCTTTGATGAACTCAGGCAGTGGTTTGATGGTACCTTAAATATCATATTAGTGATCTGAAATCTGGATCAGAAATGTTGCAGCCAAGTAATTCAAAGTGATAAATCAGTGTGCATTTGGTTCACTGCATAGAAGTTGTTAAAAATAAATTATTAACTTTGTGCTGACTAACTTTATTCCAGATCAGGGGTCACCTGTCTGTGCTTCTGTGAACATGATGGAACATCAGCTTTTGTCTGTTTTCCACTCATGGGTATAAAGCTGTCATAAGCTTGCATATAGTCTGCTGTAGATATTTTATCAGAAATATGTCATCAAATCTGTTGTGTACGTCTGCATGATCTGGCAGTGTACGCTTCCAGTATATCTCTGGAATTCGGACTATAGAAGAAACAGTCTTTTAGAAAATCCAACTAAATTTATGTTTGACAGTGATTAAAAGCTTCATTCATGTCATGGATGCAGGTGGTATTTATTAGATAGTTGTTGCTTAATCCAGTTCTCAATCAGACATTCCATTATTGGAGCAACCTGCCTTGGCCTTGACTTAATCAGCAGAGAACATTTATGTACTCACAGACAGTTTCTTCCAAGTTATTCTGCTTTTTCCTTTGAAAAAGGAAATGCCACCTGGATGGTGGCATTTGTAAATCCACACCAGAAAGTATCTTTACGCAATTATTTTGTGATTGGATAACTTAGAACTTCCTTGCTTTCCTAGTCTGTCTCATGTGCATGCACACTTTTAAAGAAATAAATATCTAGTTGGTAATCTGTATCTTGGAAACACTAGAATCAGAGAAGAAGAAATGGCAAAGAGAGCAACTGAGGAAAAAGCACGACGGGAGGAGGAGCTCCGCAAGCAGGAGGAAGAAAAAAGACTGGTTTATGAAGAACAACAAAGACAAGCTGAAGAGGAGAGGATTCGCCGAGAACAGGAAGAGCAGGAAAAACTTGCAGAGCTTCAGCACCAGGTCTGCTTATCTGTAGGCTCCAACTGTGTTCCTCATACAAGCTGCTGACGTGTTTTCAAGGGGGTTGTCTTTGATTTTTTTTTCACAGAACAGTTTTGACAAATCTCTGTCAGGAATGATCTAAAGCAGAGTTCATCCTGTCAGATGGATTTGAGAATGCCTTGAAGTCCTTTCCTTGCCCTAGTCTGTGATTTATTTATTTTTTTTCAACATTTGATGAATTCAAGTGTGGGGCAGAAGCAGATACTTTGGAAATTTTTTTAGCCATCTGGGATGCTATTTTGCATACGTAAAATATTTGTACTGAGCCCACTTTACCAGCTTACTGCTACGGACTATAAGGAGGAGGTCTGTCTGGAAAGTTATCTGGCTTGCTCTGATTCCTTTAAAAGAAAGATTGGTAGTGCTTCCAAGTCTGTTTTTCCGGTTGCTAAATAGTCTTCCACAGCTAGTATCTGTGTATCTTTACAAAGGCATCCTTCTAACTGAAGGAAGCTGTTTTGCAGAAAGTGCAAATCACTCATTATTTAAATGAGATTAATTTTGAAAATTAAAGCAGTTTTACAATGAAATTCTTTGTGTTTAAAAAGCTGTATCTTATGGATAGCATTGACATGTCTGAATGTTTCTTTAAAAGCTTGTTTAAGTTTATAACAATTATTCAGAGTGTTAATTATGCTTCTATCTTCTTTCCAGTCATACTGGAAAAGATTTTTCCAGTGTAGAAGAGACAGATGTTCGGCACCAAGTATCTTGGTAGTAATACCTGACTGCCAAGATCTTTAAGTTAACCTTGCCACATTTAGAATTTAATTCTGTCTTGTTACTTTATAAATTTATCCTTCTTAGACAAATCTTCATCCTGAAATATAGTTTGAACCCTGAGTAGTAGCTCAACAACATTCAGAACATTTGCATAATCACAATATAGTCATGCGCATCATTTTTCTTTTCAGATCAGTTTCTGAATGTCATAGTAATATATATTTCATGTCAGTAGCTGGGTAATTGGCATTTAGCTGCAATGTATGGTAATATTAAATAGTGATTGTCTGACGTTCCTGTCTGTGTTGAACCAGAATCTCTGTAACAGCTCTGCTTTTGACTCTTGGGAAGGAGTTGTGCACTGTGTGCTCTCTTCTTTTTGTTTTATTTTCAGAGAGAAGAAGCTGAAGCAAAAGCTCAAGAAGAGGCTGAAAGACAGCGGCTGGAAAGAGAGAGAATTATGCAGCAAAATATGCAGGAAAGGCTTGAAAGAAAAAAGGTATACTGTTTTGAAAGCAGAGAGGTTTCTCAGTGTAAAATAGTGGTTGAGGCGTTAAACTGAATGGGCAAATGGTCTCAGATGCATTTAAACAGAAGTAGTGTGTTCTTTTAAAAAAGCCAGCTCTGGCTTGTGAGCTTTAAAAATGGTGAATAAAGTATTAAGTTTATGAAATATTAAAATATATTATGATTGATGAAAATGTAAACTGGAATGCTGAAATATAAAGGTCTGTATGTCATTGCAAATATTTTCCCTGTTTTAACAGAGAATCGAAGAAATAATGAAAAGAACACGAAAATCAGATCAAAACGAATCCAAGGTACTTTTTTGTTTGGATCTGTATAATGACAGGATAGGCCCTTCCCAGAGAAGGCTTTGCCTTGTATTCTGTCTTCCTCTGTTATCCTTACACAAACTAGCTTCCATGTGAAGTGCAAAGTTCTGGTGCACCAGAATAATTTTCAGTAGCTTCCCATTGCACGCATTCTTCTGCTTTGCTTGTTCTGACGAAAAGTCTTTGATGCATTTTTGTTCAAGGCATATAGAAACAATGTGATCTGGCGTTACCGCTTGCAGATTGGTTAAAAAAAACCACTGGTTAGTGATGAATGATTTTTTTTTTTTTTTTTTTTTTTTAAACTGTATGCATTCTGCTGGGGCTATTTTTCCCCAGAAAACTTAAATTTCTGGCTTCATCTGTTTGCTTAAAGCAAATCTTGGATGCCCCTTGGATTGCTACAGTAAACTGGATGTATTTTTGTTAATGTAGTGACCTAAGGTTTGTGGTAAATTATGCATATTATATTGAGGAGTAGTTGTTCTTCTCTGAACATTCAAAGACCCAAGTCTTCACATAGCTGAAAATCAATAAATATTTAGCACACACCTTGGAGAAATGAGGGGAAAAGGAACTCGAGAATAATTCATAGGTAGGAGGTGGAAGTGGGTCCCACAGGTTTCTTTACAGGCTCTGGCTCAGCAGAGCATGTGTTGTTGGGTGACCTGCTTGTCTAATGCCTTTGGACTAGTGTGGCCTTACTGCTGGGCACAGAATAGTCCTGCGTGGGAGCTGTGATTGAACCATTTGTGAAACGCTAGAGGGTAGTGAGTTATTCTGAGTAACACTCCGGCAATTCAGTTGCAGAATGAAGGGAAGTCTGTCTCTGAGGCTATGGAGGGAGAGGATATTGAAGAGGAGGAAGAGTTGGGCCTTGAGAAGACTGATCAACCAGGTAAGGAAACTTGATGAGTCAGGTCTAAGTGGCAGTCAGTGTCTCAGTGATGTTCAAGCATTGTTAAAAAGGTCACTCACGTAACAGCAGTGATGGTCTGAGACGCAAGTCCCAGAAATGCCAGGGAGGCTCTCTGCTTGAACAGAGTAGATCATTGCCAGTTCTGTACCACAAGAGACAGTCAAAATGATTAAATGCAAAAATGATTTGAGAGTGAAATGCAGGCAGCATGCTTTCATTCTACAAGTGTACTTTTAAAGAGGGAAAACAAATTTCATGTTGTTATAGGCAGCTTGTCTATAGAGAAATGAATGTATTGAAGCCAAGTGCCTCGAGTTTTGGCTAGGAAAGGTCATTTTAGCACTTGTATTTTATTCATTTAGAATAGCAATTCAGTTACTGAAGCTCTTTTTCTTTTTTTTTTAATCATAGAATAGTTTGGGTTGGAAGGGACCTCTAAAGGTCATCTAGTCCACCCCCCCTGCCGTGGGCAGGGACATCTTCAACTAGATCAGGTTGCTCAGAGCCCCGTCCAACCTGACCTTGAATGTTTCCAGGGATGGGGCATCCACCACCTCCCT